ACACACACACACACACACACACACACACACACACACACACACACACAGTAGGAGTTCTCCTTCTAACTCATTAGACAGCAAATCAAACAAGTTTGCTATTCTTACTATCTGGGGATCCTTCTGAAATCTGTATTTTGGGTGATAATAGGATTGGACTTGACTCTGATGCTCCAGCAGCTAAATGACTTGACAACATTCAGCAGTGAACAAAAGCAAGATTTCCAGGAAAAGCCAATGATGTAACCCAATATATGGCAATGCCCCACAGAGCAGAAAGCAGGTGAGTAGAAGTTCATTTTAAAACCAAGTTTTTTAGTTTTATTTTTAAGTTGAGTTTGATTGCTACTTTTGTAGTCACTCCCTAGATATTGATTATTTTTCAGGATCCAATGAATTATTCATATGACTGTGAAGTATGTAAGCACTGACTCATAGACCAAAAAAGAGAGATGAATAAAAGCTTACTTTTGCACCTTTGGTGCCTGGTTCTCCACTTGCACCTCTTGGACCTTCTGGTCCCTGAAATATAGAAGACTGATTAATATTCTTTTAATCATTTAACATCTTTATTTACTGGTGTGGGCACTGGTAAGTGACCTATACTGCTTTCCAGGGCAGACTGTGTTTGTAAAAATGTTTCATTAACCAGTATGAAAAAAAAATGTTGTTTCTGATCATTTTGCTACTTTTTTCATCCTCACAGCTTATATTCACAGTGGACATGTCTTTGAAGAGCATCTGAGTATTCAGCTTCCTCAGTGAGTGAAGGGCGTGTGAAAAGTCCTTCTCAGATAGTCAAACCCACTCACTAATGTGTAAGCTGAGACCAATCATTGATGACTCTTCTTGGCTGTAAGACAATGAGATCTCATGGATCGGAAAATCAAGTATGCACCTAAACATCTTGTAGGAAGCCAGTGAATTGAGCAAAGGTGCTCTTCATCCAGCCTAGAAACACAGGAACAGGAGAAGGGGATTCAGCCCCTTGAAACTGTCCTGCAGCGATTCATTTTGATTATGGCTGGTCAACAATTTAACTTCATACACTCCATACGCTCCACCTAGTCAATAGATGCAAGCTATCTACTGTCTCACTTTCTGATTCAGTTAATGCTTGCAACACGTTACTGGAAATATATTTGAGAAATCAAGGATGACTCAAGCAGGGTCTCGATTATTGTGTCTTCATCTATATTCTCTTACGGTCTTAGGTTCTTGCCTCTGTAGTAGTTATGGAGAGACAAACTGAAATATAGATTACCATACATTAAAAATTTACACAAACATCAAATAATTGAACACTTACAGTAGGCCCTTGTGGTCCTGGAGGCCCTGGCAGGCCATTGAATCCTGGAACTCCCTGAATTAAAACAAAACATTTCAATTTTTGAAAGATGTGCTCTGAAAGTTAACTCTGAGACCAGATGTTATGCAATGCATGACATCCAAGAGTTAGAAAGCATTTCCCTGTTCTATTGCACTGTGTGAAGGTCAAATTGTGGTTTGTGAAAAAAATCTCAAAGTAGTCCACACTAGCTATTTAATAGCCAAAAATCAAGGAATTAATTAAGACTATAACAATCTGAGTAAAAAGTATGGGATTAAAACAGTCAATAACGTAGTCAATTCTAGCTGCCGATCACATTCAGCTAAAATTTAAATATTGCTAAAAGGTTACTCTGCAAACTGCAGGGCTTTACAATAAGACAACAGCAATGAACAAAAAGATTTTGAACTCAAAATTCTTCTAATTAGATTTGGGCAATTCGTAGTTCTGGATAATTTAGCAATAACATTTACCTTTTGATCTGATATCTATTACACAGGTTTAGCTTGGATGCCTAGAAATTGAGTCATGCAATGTTTTTTGTTTAGGGACCACTTTAAGTCATCAGCAAGATGTACAAGAATCGCATTGCTCCCCATGCCGGACAATGGCAAACAAGTGGAATCTTGTACCTATGCCAGAAAGTGAACATTAACCTATTTGTTTATGAAAATTAGAGATCTACTGCCTATTTTGGGTCCAACTGCATCATTGGATTGATCTGCTTTAGCTTTCCATTAGAGCTCTGAACTACAATCTCCTTGACCCCAGACTCTTCCCTCAAACTTCAATCTCCCTCTCCCAGACTGCAGTCCAAACCTTCAGTCTCTTTACCACCAGGTTCTGGCCCCTAACTCATTAACTCCTGTACCCGGACTCCAGCTGTAATCTTCCACCTTGCAATTCTGTCCCTGGACTTGTGATCTCTCTCTCTCTCCCCCTCAGATCTCCCTTTTTCACATGCTGCGACTGATCCTCCAACTCCTCCAATGTGCTCACACAGTGGGACACACTTACTTACGTCACACTATCCGCCCTCATTCTGCACCTGCCACCATCCACTTGAGCTCATCACTTAGTTTTGTGCTGATCAACTTTCTGATTGCATTACAGGAACTCCTCCTGCAGCCCCACCTCAATGAGAATGAGAACTCACTTCCAGTATTGAGCACTTGGGAGTACTTGGACCTCATTGTTTATGCACAGATGACAGCCCTGCAAATATGATGAGTGCAGCTATGCGAGCTTTTAAATTGCAAACCAATATAGTGATGATCAAACTTGACATCAATGACAATTTATTGCCAATAGGTTGTCTGAAAAACAGATCGAGAGAAACAGTTGAGGTTTCTGTCATAGAACAAAAATGCCCTGGTCGACACAGTGATTATGCAATGCCGATATGAATCAGTCAATGTTCGAAAAGTGCACACCTTGAATCTATGGCTGTAGTAGTTATAAGGAAAGTCTTTTGAACACAATTCTCTCAAAGATTAGATAAATCGTTCTTTCAATGTACAAAGGATATGTTTTGATATTAAGAATGTAGACTTTTTTAAAATGAGAAGCTTTCCTGAAGAGATTTTTTTTAAAATAGAGGCTGCAAGTCACAAAAGAATTATCCATAGAATCCCCAAAGTGTGGAAACAGACCACTCAGCCGAACAATGACTCTTCGAAGACCATATCACCCAGACTGACCACCCTTCACCCCATCCCTGTAACCCTGCGTTTCCCATAGCTAATCCACTTAACCCACACGTCCCTGGATACTACCCATTTGGTTCACTAATGTCCTTTAGGGAAGGAAACTGCCATCCTTACCTGGTCTGGCCTACATGTGACTCCAGACCCACAGCAATGTGGTTGACACTTAACTGTGCGCTGGGCAATTAGGGATGGGCAATAAATGCTGCCTGGCCAGCAACACCCTCATCTGGTGAATGAATAAAGGAATTTAGCATGGCTAAGCAACCTAACTTGCACATCTTTGGGCTGTGGGACGAAACCTAAGGGAAAGCTATGCAGACATGGGTACAATATGCAAACTCCACACAGTCGCCCGAAGCTGGGAATGAAGCGGGGACCCTGGTGCTGTGAGACAGCAGTGCTAACCACTGAGCCACCGCGCCGCCCTTAGTGATTAGCCTTCATTTTAAAAGTCCTCAGTTTGAATGTTGAGGACAGTAAGGGAGTTCAACTGTTTCAAAAGATTGAAAAAGAATTACTTAAGAGTAGAATTTAACAATGAATTAACAATGAGTTATTCAGCGGTGACTTCATCTTGTTTTGATGTCCTGTATGTAGGCCACAGTGATTCCTGAGGTGATGATATGACTTTTGAGGCAGAGTCAGATTTTTGTGACAAAACGGGTTGGCTTCAGAGCAAATAACCTATCCTACAAATCGCTAAAAAATTTGAAGGAAAATATCACAGACAGTGTTGAAGGCAGCACAGAGACGATAGAGGAACCAGAGAGGTGGAAAACAGCTGCAAAACAAAAGGTCTGGAAAGAATACACTCAGAACTAAATGAAATATTGGAATGTTTTCCATTGAAGTTAAGGTCTTTCATTTGAGGAAACCCCGTGCAGACCCGTCCCAGCCTCGGGGTGCAGCCCAGAGCATAATCCAAGCCTCGAGGTGAAGAACAGTGCAGACTCCCAGCCTCAAGGTGAAGAACAGTGCAGACTCCCAGTCTCAAGGTGAAGCCCAGCACAGACTACCAGTCTCAAGGTCAAGCCCAGCACAGACTCCCAGCCTCGAGGTGAAGCCCAGCGCAGGCTCCCAGCCTCGAGGTGAAGCCCAGTGCAGACTCCCAGTCTCGGGGTGAAGCCCAGTGCAGACTCCC